ACATGCTTAGAAACCATGACGACCAAGCAAACCGAAAGGAAACACTGGAAACGATGAGATGCAAACTAAAAGTCCATGTGTGTGTCCACACATATATAAGAGCATCTTAAATATTTTCCATCACAGCATCCATTTAGAAAGGATAAAGGTTATTTTAAAGGTTAAAATTCATTCATTTTTTCCCAAGTTGCTTTGAAAACTGCATTATTTGCAGTCATTTTAGATGGAGTTCGCAGGACATATCAGTTCTACAAAAGTAAATGTTTGTGCTACAGTAAGTACTAAATAATATGCACTAAACAAAAACAAAAAAGTAATAAAGCAAACTGAAAGAAAACACAGTAAGTGTTTGTATCCGTCACTTTAAACAACTGAAAACATGATAGAATTTCAGAGAGACATGAAAACACTTAAATGGAGATCATTCTAGTCCAATAACAGAAAACTACCTGATTGTAACGTTGAAATATAGATTTTCTGTGAAGCTGCTTTAAAACAGTATGTATTGTGACTTTAAGAATAAACTGGAATGTAACGGTCCTCTGATTATAGGCATTTTAAAGGGGTCATGACATGAGAAATTACGATCACTGCCGCTATCTTGTCTGCACTGAGTTCACTTTCTGACACAGTCCAGCGCTCGAGTCTGTCGTCAGGACAAATGCAGTGAATGAGCTTTAGCTTTGACATGTTTGGTATAAACAGCTCGTTCGCATCTTTGTACAGATATCAGAAGGATCCCAGCGCAGGGCTCCGGACTAACATTTGAGAGCAGATGCACCAGCGCCACTAAGTTCTACAGACGGTGGCTCCAGAAGCAGATTTGGTAGCACAAAAAATAAATATAATTTAATCATAAATGTACTATTATTCTGTGTTAGTAAATGCAGTGACTTATAATATTACATGTTTATTTCTCGGAAATGCACATTTGACCGTAAAGCACTGAGCTTGATTTGGGAAGCATACAAAATGTACTTTTATTGACAATAGCAATATGTGCAACATCTAATTCTAAAAGTGTAAAAATGTATATATTCTACTCAGAACTGACCAACAGCTTCAGTGATTATGAAAGGAACGCTCTTTGCTTGTGTGATTTAGTCGCAAATTGAAGAAAAGTTCATTTTTTTCAAGGTATTTCGTGATTTTTCTTATGTCATACACAAAAAAGTGCAAAACTTTGACAAAATTTGATTTCTTGATGATTTGATATTTTATAATAGTGATTTTATAATTTGTAAATATAAAGCAAAAAAGTGGAAACGAATGACTAGTAAGCCAGTAAATGCTCCTCTGCTGCCATCTACTGGTTGTAGTGGTAATTTGATGTATTTTTATGCACTAATATTTATTGTGTATATATAAACACATACAGCATATATTTTGAAAATATTTACATGTATATATGTATATTCATATAAATTATATCATATATAAATATATTTAATATATAAACGTAAAATATTTGTTCTTAAATATATACATGGGTGTGTATTTATATATACATAATAAACATACACAGTACGCACACATATATTATGTTTAAAAAAATGTGATTAATCGCGATTAATCGTTTGACAGTACTATTTTTTTCTCTCTCTATCTATTTAACAGCATTACAATGAAAGACGTCTTCCCTCAGGTAGATTGCATGTTTTCCTGCCTTGCTAGATGTTGGGCTCATGATCAATAAGTTGTTTGCATTCGCCCAAACTGATTTGGCAAAGGTTGAAGGTTATTTTGCCATTAGTGCGAGGAACATTTGTTGAAAGATGAAGCACTACAAGATCTGACTGCAGCTGCATCACATTTTAAGTAAAAGATTTCATAACGCTTTGTCTGGAAATGACTGTTTAATTTGGATCATGTTGTCAAAACACGCAATAGTGAGGGGGCGTTGATACTGTTTCCTATGCAGTGGCGTTAGCCAATGGGGGTTTTTTTGTGTGCAAAAAACTTTATTAACATTATAAATAAACCTCAAAGAACATGTCAAAATAATATGTCATGACCCCTTTAAAATGTAGTGTAATTACAAGTACAGAATATTTGTAATGTGGATTACATGTAATCAGTTACTCTCCAGCGCTCACTTGTTGCAGATGAAGTTGTTTCTATCAGTTTCAGGGCGGCTGATCCAGCGATTATCGTTGGTCCGAATGGCTCCGGATCTGACCGTCTCATTGCACTTGTCCAGTCCAGTGTTGTAATCAGAAGCCCACTGATCGTAGCACGTGGTGTGACCGTTGACCCAGAACCAGAGTCCCAGTATGCGGGAGTGACGCAGACCCAGCCACACGTGATCGGAGGAGGCGCTCGAGGTCACATTCATCACCCGCCGCTGCATCTGCTCTGAATCCACCGACACCAGGTCCATGTCCCAATCTCTGCAGTATCTCAGAGCTTCAGTCCACGTCTTATTCTCTCGGATCAGAACCAGTTCATCTGGAAACAAACAGAAAGCAAAGCATTTAAACTCAGGAACTCATATGAAGAGTGTTGAGTTAAAGCAGCAGGGTTTCCCAAACAGGCTTCCTGAGCTGATGAAAACCTAATAATTAACAAAACCAAATGAGAATTTATATATACAGTATAAATGAGGCTGCACAATTAATGCATGATATATGATATAGCTTAGTGTGATTATCAAATCAAAGTTTGATGCGTTGCGTGTTTCAGAGTGAAGCGTGTCACTGTGTTCATTTACACGCGAGCAGCTTATAAAACAGTGCTTTCAGCGTCTCAGTTCACAGTAAATGCTGCTTCGCATCAACACTGACTTTAATGTGCATTGGAGAACCCAATGTGTGCTAAGTTTACTTTATTTACCAATACTTTTCTGCGGACAGAAGTTTACAGCATTTCATTTTGTATATTTTATTTGTTTAGCTGCATGTCTTGTGATCATTAACTGACATCAGAGAACCGTGAATGTTTTGTCAAATTATTGAAACATTAATTTAAAGAACTCGAGAAATACTTTCACTGACAGAAACTCTGGGAATTGCTGGTTAAAGGAATAGAGCGGTCACACTGTAATGACGAGAGAGTTTCTGTAGTTTGTCATGTAGATGTACAGCAGCTCAGATGATTGATCTACTCACCATCATAACACACAAAGTGATGCAGTTCTCTACAGAGCTCGTCTGTCCATCGTCCTTCATCACTGATACCAGTTGATGCGCAGATGCTGTCATTTTTAGCTCCGATATTGGGTTCATTACTTTTCCAGGGTTTGAATGTGAAGTTGCTGTTATCTGACCAAACCCAGGATCTGTACAGACCGATCCAGGCTTGTTCAGGTGAAGTTATGATGTTCTGGATCTGATGATTCTCAGTCGCATTCCTCACACTGGCCAGATCTGTGTGATACTGTGTGCAGTGTTTCTGAGCTTCAGTCCAGTCCTTTTGCTCCTGTACAGAGACGAATCCTTTACTGCTGCCTTTAAAAGAGAAAGACATTTGTCTGATATCGATTTAGAGAATTAAATACACGTTCTTTCTCTTCTCATTTACCAAAAACAAAAAGACAAATCCAAATGTGGTTCATTATTGAAAACTGAAAGTGTTTCATAATGAAAATAATCAAGTCTTTTAGAACATTTCTGTGTTTTAATCACATAATCAAGTCAAATTTATCTCTGTAGCATTTAAAATAAAATAAGTGTCAGTGTTGCAAAGTTCATCAATTCAGAAACCAATTCAATTCAGGTATAAGCAGCTCTACTGAAGATAATAATTTGGTTAATTAATAGTGCAAAGTTCATCAGATATGAAACATACAGCTGATCTCACCATTATAGCAGATGAAATGTCTTGTTGTACTACACTTTACATCATGCCATTGTCCATTATGTTCCATATAAACACAGTCTCCATCTCCATTTGGTTGTGATGGTTCCCAGTTCCTGTACTGAGATTCATTTTCTCTGTAGAAGTCAGAGTCACTCAGAGACCAAATCCATGTGTCCTTCAGCCCAATCCAGACACGGCCAGCACTGCTGTTCTCTCTCTGTATGAGCTGATTAATGTCATTCTGTTCATTCCTGTCATTGATAGTGACCAGATCTGTGTGTTTGTCTCTGCAGTAACTCTGAGCTTCAGTCCAGCTCATGTTCTGATTCACAAAGTGATACTGACGTGGAGACGAACTGACCACGGCTGAGGACAGACACATTCACACAGATCTCACTCATTATATCCACACTGTATTTCAAGAGCTCAGAGTTTCAGTGTGTGTTTGATAAAGTGTTCTGAATGGCGCTTTTGTACGTTCAGTGTTTCCACAGGATTTGGTGAGAGTGTGGACCTCTAGTGGAAGAAACCTGAGTGCATTTTAAAGTTAAACACATTAAACTGCTCTGGCCACAGGTGGAAACCCCCTGGTCTAGAGGACTCATGGGAAACACTGACGATGTTTTGTGGTTTTTATATGGTTTATTACAGTAGCAGCTCAATCTCCTCAACAACACACACGATTGCAGGAGTCATTCAAACACACTTGAACACTGTCGGCACAGCACTAACACTGACTATCAACACTAGTACTAGTCAAGCACTCATTTAAACACTCACTCACCTGTGAGCAGAACAGACATCAATGTGATTCTCTCCATTTCTGAGGGAAAACCAGAAATCAGTCTCAATAAATGACGCAGACGCTGAGCATCTGACCAGATCCAGAACATTCAGATCATTTCTGCTTTATCATTGCTTATTAGATCCTACATCAGTTATAAACACACACATGAAGCTCCTGAATGAGCGTGTGTGTGTGTGTGTGTGTGTGTGTGTGTGAGTGTGTGTGTGAGTGTGTGTGTGAGTGTGTGTGTGTGTGTGTGTGAGTGTGTGTGTTTATACAGGTGGAAAAAAACAAAATACATACTTTGATTATTCTATCACGCTTGTTATTTGTGTCTTTAGATTTCAATTCCAATACGTATCTTCAGAAGTTCTTTCCTCCACTTCAGCAGCACTTATTCTGTTTCGAAGAATGTTGAACCTGACTTCATCCAATGTTCAGATCTATTTTCTGGAAATGTAAGCAGATTAGTGCATATTTAATTAGAAAAGGCTTTATTTTCATATTTAAACCTGACATTACAGAAAACGTTGTCTTAATATACTGCGTTTAATTAACTGGGGAGATATGGTTATGTCTGTTAGTTAATATTTTTACCTTATTCACTAGTACTGTCTCGCTTTAACCATATTTTGGGGACATATTTGTAACCAGAAGTGAGTTAAACATGAGAAAACCTCCATTTGGAGATGTCCTCATTTGTGAAAACAGTATAAAATAAAGGTTTTTTGTTTATTAAAATGCAGGAAGTTGTGTCTTAGGGTTTGAGTGTAGGCTAGGCCTGGGTTATAATATTTATAACTAGCTCTATATATAAACAAAAGAAGACTATGTGATGTAGATGGAAAGTGTGTGTGTGTCAGTCATCATCAGTTTATGGTTGTGTATCTCCTAAACAACAGTGAGATGAAATAGTGAGAAATGAAACACTTTTACTGAGGTTTTCCTGCTTTCAGATGTTTCTACTTCAGCTTCGCATTCATTGTGCAGCTCTGGACTGGATTGTTGACTCGTTTGTATTCTTTTTTAATTTCTCTTACGTAAGATAGATAAGTCGATACCTCGATGAGAATGCCGAGGTCTGAAAGAACACAAGCGCATTTTTATTATTAAGAGTCTGATAAAAACATCACAATAATCCACAGCACTCCAGTCCACCAGTTAACATCTGGAGAAGACAAAAGCTGAAACTAATCCAGCATTAAGACGCTTTTAACTTCAAACCCTTGCTTCCAGGTAAAACATAGTCTACAGTATTTTCAAAATTCTCACTGGAGGAAGTGTCATTATGGGTTATGAACTCATATTTTTTGTCTTGTTGGAAAACAAGATAAATATACTGAGGAACTGTTTATGTTGGGTGTGACTGGCGGAGCTCTTATCAGTCACTCACACACACACACACTCACACACACACACACTCACACACACACACACACACACACACACACACACACACACACACACACACACACACACCCACACACTCTCACTCTCACTCACTCACACACATCCACACCTCCACACTCACACATTCACTCGCTCACTCACACGCTCGCTCACATTCTCGCTCGCTCACACACACACTCACACACACACACTCTCTCTCTCACACACACACACACACTCACACACACTCACACACACACTCTCTCTCTCTCTCTTTCTTGTGGATGTCTACAACTCTGCAGTAGATGATTCTGCATTAATATAAAATATAAGAGCTCCTGTCAGACTCGCCGGATTCACAGATCCTTCACACGCCTCGGATTTTAATGGAGTACAGGTAGCCTAATGTAATATCATTCATCGTATAGTTATGAAAATATGATATCCTTTCATAATTCAGATGATTTCTGTCACAGGAGCGTTTGGATCGTGCTGTGAATGAAGCAGTCTTCAGAACATCATTAACACAAAGGTGAGTTTATTTTCTTCCTCACTGAACAGTGTGTTAATATATTACACTGTGTTATGTATTATCGTTTTCACGAGGGACTAATAGATTAAATATTAGTGTGTAACAGAGGCGCGTTATCTTCAGGGTTCAGCTGTTTAGTTGTGTTTACTGCTTGGTTGTTGGTTCACTTGTCTGATAAGAAAACACTTAACTAAACAGATATCACCATACTTCACCCAACTGATTAATCACGATACATTAAGTTTTCCTGAAATTTTCTGTTTAAATATACAATATTTAAACTATATATATAGTTTAGTATATATACGTTTTTTTTTTAAATACTAAAACTTTAAAATGAAAACTAATTCCAAATATTAATAATAATAATAACAATAATATATCTCATGCAAGCATAAAGATTTACTAAAATGAAAACTCAAAATATTAATAAAATATATCTCATGCAAGCTTAAAGATTTACTACAATTACATTTAAACTAAAGATCACATAATGTCAGTATGTGAAGATATGTGACTAAATATATGAATTAAACTCCCAAAAGTTGTCTGTGAAAAGGTTGGTTTAGTTTAGTTTATAACACTTGTAATTTCTTTCGTTTATGAATGATTGAAAGTATTTTCAGCACATAAATGTTCATTGCTCTTCCTTGTGTGACTGCTCATGCATCATTCAGGACGAGCATTCTATGCGTTATAGAAAACAATGAAATTATGATGAATTTGGCATTCGTTCGGTCCAGAGAGAGTCTCTGTGAGTTTTTATCACATTTATGAACAAATGTTCTTCCAGTAGCATTAATAGAGCATTCTTTCAAACGTCTCTGGTATTTAGTAATGCTTTCAAATCATTAGCACAAAAACGTGTATTTACACATCATTCATTTTTGTTCCTGAAATGTTGTGGTTGGATGTTTAAGTAACTTTTTGGAATGTTACAATTTGTTTCAGAACATTCAAAAGTAACGTTCCCATAACGTTTGCAAAATAATCAAATGGAATGTTCCCTTGACAATAGATACATTTTATGAATGTTTAGAGAACATTCCGAAATAACACATTTTTACCTTGATAGGAGCATATTTGTGTTATGTTTGGGATTGTGTCTGCGCTGAAGTGTGTGAATGAAAGCGTTTAATGACACCTGAGCGTTTGCACATGGGATATTCTTCTCGTTTCTGAAAGAACATAGATTCTACATCCCTGAACTGAAGGTGTTTAAGCAGCCAAATTCTGGATCGACCAGTGGAATGAGTCTGTTTGATGCATTTAGAAGATACTCTTATGCATTGTATTCATTTAGAAAAAGAAGTTTGAGTTGTGTTTTGTTTTTCTCGTGTTACAAAAGCTTCTGTTTGTTGTTTGAGCTCATTGGATCTTCATGTTGGTGTTCAAGCTGTCAATCATCTTCTGACCCCGCCCACATCCCCTTCTACTATGAGCAGCAGTTTTGAGAAAGAGGGCGGGGTTGTTGCATGGCCTCCCTCATTATATGACCACACCCCTCAAAGCATCCCCCCTCTGGCTCCTCCCCTTCCCCCTCCCCTTCCTGTGAGAAACCCTGAGGAGAGGAAGAGGAGGGTGAGGAGCTTCTTCTGGAAACCGATTCCTGAAGATCGTGTCAAGCAGCAGAACAGGCCGAACCTGTGGAGCAGCAGAGATCCATTCCACATCGACATCAGAGCCATCGAGGAGCTGTTCGGACACGAGGACACACCCTCGTTCACAACAACCTGCTGCACGATTGGACGAAGACACACTTCTGTGAAAGATCTCAGGCCGCAGGTGAGATCTACTGAGATCAGAGGAGGTTTGATGCAGAGTTAACTCAAACTCAAACCATTAACAGCAATTCCACTCAAATTAACATGAACAGAACATATAAAAAACTCATTCAAAATATTATTTAAAAAGCTATATTTAGACATTAAATAAAAAACTGACAAAACACACAACAAAATGACAAAAATGTTAAATTAAAAAGAAAAAGAAAAAATTATTCAAAATATTAGTAAAAACTGTATAGATATAAAAACCCAACAGCTAATACAATTACAAAAACGAGAATTTAAAAAATGTAAATAAATAAAGATTCAAAACATTAATAACTGCATGTACTGTATAATAATACATGTAAATGTTGATAAAAAAATTAAAAACGGACAAAAACACTAAAATTAAAATTAATTAAAAAAATCAATAATAATCATGAAAATGACAAAAACACAACAAACTGCTGAAACTTCACCTAAAAGTAAAATGTATATAAATGTATATTAAAAATATATATAACTCACTCAAAATATATATATCTATATCTATGTAGACATTAAAAAACTAATAAGCTGACAAAAACACAAAAAATTACTAAAACGAACTAAAATGAAATCGAACAATCAAAATATTAATAAAAACAATGTAAATATTTATTTAAAAAAAAAACTACTACAACTAACAAAAACTAATACAAATGACAAAAGCACAACAAAACTACTAAATCTTCAAAATGAAAATGGAAAATATACTGTATAGACAGAAAACATGAAAATAAAATCTAATTCAAAACGTATCACAGTATATACTATATTAATGAGAGTAAAGCAACACTGGTTTGATGATGTTAGTGATGAGATTTATATTACAACATACAGCATTTATAAGTGTGTGTGTGTGTGTGTGTGTGTGTGTGTGTGTGTGTGCTTCTCTTTAGATCACCATCCTGGACTCCAAGAGAAGCTTGAATATCTGCATTTTTCTGAAACACTTCAAAAA